CCTTTGGGTGAAAATGTCAGACTCTGGGATTTATGGGAAGGAGTAGGAAATATTATTTAAAGGAGCAAATTCTTTTTGTGTGCATGGGAATGCCAAAAGCTGTTGTACCCTGTCTGTGCCGATTGCTGCAGGCAGAGGTATCAGAAAACCTGTAAAACAGAGGAAACCTGCCAGGGCTGTGCCATGAGGGCATTGCATTGCTCTCCACCCCTATGGACCCCGCGGGGGGGGCTGCTGCCTGTGCAGAGGGGAGCAGGTACCCCCAGGGCCAGCAGCTGCTTCCAGGGAAGCCAATGGTCTGCTGAAATCCTGATGTTCAAAGGGTGTTTGTGTGCTCTTGAGGGGAGGATTTTGCCTTCTGAGACTTGTATGGCTTTTAGGAATATGTGCGATTGAATGTTAATGCTTCTGCAGAAGCGAAGGCTGAATCGCAATGGACCAAGACACTTCATGATGCACTGCTTCACCATGAGCGTCCCTTGCACTGCATGCTCTCACTGCCCTCCACTGCAGCTCGGACCCTAAACAGCAGTGTTTGTGCTCAAACACTGCAGTTAAGTAGAGCTGCAGTGCATATTGCAGGAGAGCTCTGAAATGTGAACAGTGTTTCGCAAACTCCTTTGCACATTGCCGTTTGCCCATTCACAGCTAGAAATGCATAAGCATTTGCACAGATGGATTGGTCAACAAGTTAATTCCAGTCCAAAAGAAATGGTCAGTTAAGCAGCTGAAAGCAGCATCTTCTCTTCCCCCTGCTGTGTTTATTGCTTAATTACGAAATTGTAATTAGGAAAAAAATCAAGTTATCATTGCAAGCAGAGAGGCCCACCTCTCTGCAGCCCAGCATTCGGATGAAGAACTTAAGGGTATTGGGGATTCTGGAAAAGAGGCTATATAATTCTTCTCTTTCACCAAAAAAAAGTCACTCTTTATTGAAAAGCAAGCAAATGAAGATTCAGCTATATGAAACGCGATATGAGCGCAAAAGCTATACTTGCAACACGTGGGAGGGATGAAGCCGGTGATTCCTTAGATTCTGGTGGTAAAATCTCTCTTGTCAAACTCCCAGACTTCTGTACTTGTAATCCAATTCCTCTCACAGTTTCTATATGTTCTATTGGGATTGGCTATATTCTGTATATAAAATGGTATTAATTACACTATAATCTGAAAAGGGAGTTGGCTACCATATAATTTAATAAATGCTACTGTAAAAAATCTAGTTCATAATTTTTCATCACTTTTACCTGGGGAAACCTACTGAAGAAACAGAGCTGTATGCCCCACCACATACGTTGTAATCTTGATACTACACAGACTTTGATTGGACATTTCAACAGGGGGAATATACTTTAAGAAACAAGGGGTGCACTAATGCTGAGGCCCCAGATTATTTACCTGATAATTTTAAATTGTGCTGCAAATAGGACATCCTTTCCCATGGTTAAAAAGCACCAGCAGCTAAAAAAGCAGGTATACCCTACAGTCATTCCCACCACAGTAGTAAGCTTAATTACAATGTGTCATTTATGTATACAAGAATGTAACTGAGAATATAGTTCCAGTTCTTGAAAATGAGAAACAAGACCTTGCAATGAGCTATAGACTCAGTGTCAATCCCCTGAAAAATAATGGCACACACAATTCTGGACTCCAGGAAGAACGAGGAGCTAAAATATGTTGTCAGCCAGAGACTCAATTCTTATTAGCATCAATCAGTCAGGTTTCAGGGATAGCAGATCTCGTGAAAAAAGCAGGTCTTTGTCAGCCACTAGTGGGGAAGTTTGATTTGGGAAAGCCTTAACAGAGCTGCCATAATGCAAAACAGAGGATGCTGTTAGATGGAGCAGGCAGGTCCCTTCTGCAGCAGAGCCCCAGAGGTGATGCTGCTCTCCCTCCTGCTGGGGACATCACTTTTTACCTACAAGATAAGAAACTTTAAAGAGGAAATTAAGAGGAGGTGCCCATAGTACTGCTCAGGAGGGAATCACAGGTGGATGTGCAATGGGACCAACAGGAGACTCCAGGTATTTGTGTTATTCTGGTAACATACATAACTGGCATTTTTAACCATGCAGGAGATCTGTGCAGCGAGATATCCTCATCCCTTCAGTGCCTCCTGCCCCCTCCTTCCCTTCATCCCTCCACAGCTGGCCATGGCAGGAGCTGAAGGGATAATAGGAATAATGGTCTGGGTGATAATAACTGCACAGGGAAAGAGGAAATAAAGCTGCGATAAAGTAGTGGGTTTACCTCTGCACACAACACTGGTAAGACTCTTGCTAGGCTATTATGCCTTGTTCCACTGTTCACATTTCAGGTTGATTCAGATATTCCTCAAAAGAGAGAAACAAATATTATCTAGGAAGCCTTACAAAAATTAAGCTTGTGGTGCTCAAATCATCTGCAGAGAAAGATGAGGAGGTGATTTATCACATTGTACAGGTCCTTAGTCACAGAAAAGATACTTGATAGTAAGGAGGATGTTCAGTCTTGCAGACAAAACCAAAATAAGATCTGATTTCTGAAAGCTGAACTTAGTGGAATGCAATTTTGAACTAAGATGCTATTTCCCAGCAGCACGGGGGTATTTAATCACTGAAAGTGCTTACCAGACATGGTAGTATGAGCATCACCTGGAATTGCCAGGATAAGACTAGACAGCTTTCTAAAACATATATTTCAGTCAGGCTTCTGGGAAAATTTCTAGAGCCTGTGACTATCTGAGCTCAGACGAAATTATTCTATGGCTCCTCTGGTCAGATTCCACAAATCTGTTAATACAGTTGAATTTCATTCATATCAAATTCTGTGCTCCATAACCATAGCTCACATGTAGAATCACCAGGGAAGGATTTTCAAATTGTTTGCCATTAGAACATATGGTTTTATCAAAATTAAAATATTTGACATAATACTATAGATTTGGGGTTTGAACATGATAGACAAAACCTACGACAAAGAAGGCAAGACTGACAGCCAAAGTTAATGGCTATCCTTAAACAAGGAGGAGAGGGAAAGATCGGGAGATGCAGGAAGAAATCCAGGGCTGGGAGCCTGAGCATAAGGGAAACTAGTGGGAAGCTAACTAGGGAAGTGGGGAAGACCTGTATTAACAATGCCCCATTTCAGGGCATGGGGGACCCCGAGGAAGGGTCATGTCATGGCATGGCTGATGTGGGGTGGGCATGTAGGTGGCAGCTGTTCATGTTCTCCTTTAGGACAGGAGACACTTCTGCAGAAGGAGGTTGAGTAAAGGGTTCATTGCAGGGACCTGCAAATAAATCTGATTAATAAACTATCCCTTTATGTGGAAAAAACTCTTCTGTACGTTTCAGCTCCTAAAAATGGACTGTAATGACTGCATGCTTTTTCAGGTCATCAAGTAAAGTAGGGAAGAGTTGATTATCACCCTTGTGAGTTACACTATTGCAAATTCAGAAGTATATCTCAGTTCAAGTGATTGTGTAAACCTGCTTGAACTTCAAAGGCAGGTAATACTGAACTTCACTGCTTTAGGAATTAGCAAAGGTTCAGCCTTCCCCAGACCTTTGTTTTCCCTAAAGACAATGTGTCTCTGCTAATTAAAAATATTCTACATGGACTTTTAATTTTCTTTTCTCACAAATGCATAGCCACAAGCAAACACTGAGAATTTCCACCTTTTTGAAGTCTGTCTGACCCCAACTCATTTCTATGACTGAAATACTTCCAGTCACTGGACCAGGGAAAGGGCTGGAGAACACCCACAGGTGGAGATCCCAAAGCACACAAAACCAGTCTGTGCATATGAAAAAGCTCTGTAGTTTTAAAGTACATTGAAGGGGTGCTAATAATGTGTTCCAGGTTGCAAAGGTGTATGTATGGGTTCAGATGGTGGGATTTTGGCTGTGACAAATTGGAGCAAACCAGTGAGACAAGACTGTGGCATTCAGGAGAGTAAAGCTCCAGTTGGACAGAGACTTTGGTTAGAAAATGGAAGATCATAAACATTTTTTTTTCTCATTTTACTGGTACCCATTTACCTTGCAGAGCACTTTGATTTTAAAGAAGTCATTACAGAAGGCTCCAAAACACCCACATACAAGATGTGTATCTTTTACAGATATCTATGATTTGTACAAAATTTGTTATTTATCATATAGAGAATAGTGCTTTTCAGAAACATCAATAGGGTATGCCTTGTTACCTCATTGATTTGATTTCTATATCAAACATAATAATAAGTCATGTAAAGAAATACATATTTCTTTAAAAAGAAAGATTTATTCTGAAATCCAGAATTCCTGCCTTCATTGCTGGGACCCTGACCTCCTTTCCTCCCTGTGTAACATTACAAGAAGTAAAGTATTCCCTTTAGGGTAGGCCATTTAATGCTTCCTATCATTTTCTGTCCGTGTGGAACCCTGTACTCTTATGCCCAGATGTATAAATAGTATAGAAAATGGAGTTCAGTGAAGAATTCTGCTGATGAAATGAAAGAAAAAATCTACCTTATTTTTTCTTGGCCATGTTGCTACTGCAAGACTAAAAGCAGTACAAAACAACCAAAATAAATGTATTTTAGACTTCTCCATGAACAGATATGACTCCCCAAGTACACATAGAGTAGATGTAATAGGCATCATTATTTTTAAAAGTACAAGAAAAATTTAATTTCATCTTCTTTTCAAACTGTCATGAGTAAGTTCAACCTTCTCTTATCCATCAGTAGTTTACTGGGAACTTGATAACAATACCTGCTTTGCACAAAATAGAGGAAATTGCTGCTTTCTTACTTGTAGCATTTCGAATCAATGGCTGAGCTTCTGCAAACGTGATGGAAATAGCTGTGGTCACACCTAAGCAAGGTTTTTGCATAGTTATATTTCAACAGCTGCATGTATTCTTATCAATAATGGCAATATGGGTATCCCAGCTCTCCTCAGCTGCCCATGCTCTAGCAGAATTACACTGATTCAGCAACTCTCCATTACAACTGTCTCCTTGTTTCATTCCAGTTTCTCCGAAGATATTTCGTATTTCGAGTGACATCGTTGTGAATGAAGGAAGCAATGTTACTCTGGTGTGCCTGGCCACGGGGAAGCCAGAGCCTTCCATTTCTTGGAGACACATCTCTCCATCTGGTAAGCACAAATATCTGTCACCTGGAGCTTTCTGCAATGTTTCACCAGTAACAGGTTTTGCATCTTCAGTTTTCAGAATTGTGACAGCATCACTTTTTTCGGCCTTAAAAGGTGTGTGTCTAACTAGACTTCTAGAAAATAAAAGCTGCTTCAGATTTCAGCTGAGATCAGTGAAAACTGTAGTACTACTGTAACATAGTAATGTGGAAATAAAGGCAGCCTAAATATGAGTATATTTTTAAGCTCATTTTAAGAGGCTGCAGACATTTATCAAACAATTCCAATTAAAACCAAAACAAGGAAATAATCAAGAACACACAGGGCTCTCTAGAAGTAGGAGTGAAAGTTAAAAACATTAACACATCATGCAATAGATTTAATTTAATGTAACTACCATTGAACATTACAATTATTTCATGATACCGCATAGTTTATTAGAATGGTTTTACTGAATAAACTAAATTATATGTATGAAAAATTGCAAAAAAAAATGGCATCCAGATGTATAGTTTCTATTTAACTTAGTGTTTCCATTTACACTTTTAATTCCTCATAACATATTTAAAGGAAAACTTTTAGCTAACATTACAGGCATCTCTATACTGGTTGACTTGGTGCAGAGCCACCGAAGCTGGCTCCCTGTGAGCAAAGCTGGACCTGTCTCACTCAGAGGTGGAGAGACCCCCACTCCGTACCTCAGAGTTACTGGCTCTGGAAATCCTGGTGGGTTTTGTGTTTCTGAAAGGAGATATTCCCTATCTCCAGCTGGTTGTTGCATGTTAGACTGGTACTGCACTGGTTCTTTTTTAGGGACTCTACAATGATAATTGATTTTGCAGTGAAGGTCTTTCTCTTTGCTCACACAACTTTTATGAAATCCGTGTAATTGCAGGGAAGAACAGTTTCATGGACTTGTCACAGCTTACCGCAGTGTCTCATAATCCTGACTAACAGTTTGCTTTACAAAGCAAGATCTGAAAAAAAATTAACTTTTGACCTTTAAGACAATGACAATGAATCCTGCTTGAAGTGTCCATCAGGGGACCAGGGGAAAAAAATTCAGTTGCAGCAAAAAATGGATTTTAACTAAATGTCAAATAAAATTTTATTAGAAACCGTGGTGATACTTTAGAGTAATAGCTTAAAGCATTAGATTGTCTACAGAAAGGAGCTGTTACAATTTTCCTGGAGAGAAAAAAAGCAGAAAAGTAGAGTTAGTGCACTCAGTCTGGAGAAGGGGTCTGAGGAGGAATTAGATCCTCCTCATCTTGAATTCAGGCAAAATTAGTGCACGTAATCACAAGGGCCACTGATTTTGAATCTTGACCAAAGGACTGAGAATGAGGACTGAGAGGAAAAATGTGATCATTCAACTACAGACCCATTACACTTACACAATGAGAACTGAAAACGAAATTTAAGGACAAGACTAATCAAAGATATCACGATACAGGGAGAGTAAATCAAAGTGCTCACAGTGCAATGGTGATGTGCTCTTGCCGAGCACCTTGCACAGCAGCGAACTGAAGGCAGACAGGTATGAGTCAGGCAGTTACAGCCTGTGCTTTGCTTCCCTTCCCTTGCCCAATACCTGCTTCGTTCTGTCTTCTCAGCCCTCCTTGGAAGCATACATGAATAGCTCCCATAGGAGAAAGAAATGTGCATTTACGTGCTCCCTGTTTCATCCTCTCTGCTGGAGCATCTTGACCAAGTAGCTCTCAGGTGATGCTGCAAATCCTATACAGCTTCTCCTTTTAGGACTTTCTTTGTGGAAGGGTGGCATGTTGGATTAGTTTTGCCACATCCCTTACTCTCTCACCAGGAAGTGATAGGTTAGATGAAACACAAACATGGGCTTAACAAATTTGGTACTTAAAAAAAAAAAAAAAAAAAAAAAAGGAAAAATCACAGAATTGAACCACAGACTGGCTGAGGTGGGAAGGGACCTCTGGAGATCAGCTGGCCCAACTCCTGCTCAGAACATGTCCAGCTGGGTTTGAATATCTCCAAGGAGATGCCACAGCCTCTCTGAGCAACCTGCGCCAGTCTTTGATCACATTCACAGTAAAAAAGCTTTTTTTCATGTTTAAATGGAATTTCCTCTGTTTCGATGCAAGCCCATTGCCTTTTGTCCTGTCACTGGCCCCTCTGAGGAGAGTCTGGATCCATCTCCTTTGCATCCCCCGTTATGTACAGGACCCTCAGAGACCCCTCCTCCCCAGGCTTAGACCCCATCTCCCTCAGCTGCTCCCCAGTTCAGATGCTTGAGCCCCTTCATCATCCTTATGGCCCTCCACTGGACTTTTTCCAGGATGTCCATGTCTCTCTTGTCTGGGGGGGACCCTCAGGACATGCATGTATAATTCATTATATAAACAGTTGGATATGCACCTACCTCAAGACTCACTATTAACCTAGATCTAATATTCCCTGCCCATGGCAGGGGGTTGGACTAGATGATCTTTGAGGGTTCCTTCCAACCCAAAGCATTCTGTGATTCTATGACTCACCAAAAAAGAAAGAATACTGATGCAGTTAAAGTTGTTACAGACACACTTAATTCCCACCCCTTTTCCTGGTGATTTGTATACCCTTCCGTGCCCTGTGGGGGCTGAAGGTCCATGGCTTCATTCTGGTGGGGGGTTATTATGGCAAGTTGTCAGCATCCAGGATCCCTCAAGGGACAGAATATGACGTTCACGTTGGTCATTTCCTCTTCCTCCCTTTTAGATCCATTTTGGGTCCTTTTTAAATGTTTGCTATCATGTTTTTACACCTTTTCTCTTTCTTCATTGCTCCACAGCTTCACATTAAATCCTAATTTACTGTTTGTGCTGCCTTCTATGAATGTCTGATATAATTCCTTTGTTCTCTAATACCCCTAAACCCCACTTTGTCCAGCTCCAAATCTCCATTTCTTTAACTGACCGTGGGTGAGCTGTTCACAGCCATGGGGTCTCCTGTGGCAGCCCCTGCCCATTCCTACCCACCTCATGCCTGCCCTCCTCTGCACCCTGTCCCGTGTGCCCACTTCTCAAATCCCTGCTCCCACACCAGCCTGTGTTTTTCTGCATCATTTTGTAACAGTCATAAATACCTCATTACACACAGAATAACTGCTCACTACTGCTGGCTATGGTCATGCCATGGAAATGCAAAGGTAAAACAGATTAGCCAGGGACACCTGCTCAGTTAGAGGAAATGCTGCCCCAGCTGAACCAGGCATGACAAAGCTGCAGGCAGGGCAGAACAGGTCCGGGCAGAGATGCTGTGACAAGTCTCAGTGCTGAGGCCTTGCAAACTCATTTCAAATGCTACATGACATGGCTGCATCATTACAAAACCCGTTTCATCTGAGGTGTGAGCACTGATGCGGCCGTTGCACTAAGACATGCCTTGGTGTCTCCTGGTTGATTAATGGATAGAACTCTGTCCGGAGTGGGAGAACACAGGATCCAAATAACTTTTTGCTCAAAAATCTTGTAAAATGTGATGGAAGCAAATATATAATTTACAGAATATGGTCTGTCTGCTAGTCTACCAAAGAAAGAAGAATTTTTCCATTTCAGTAACGCTGTAGCACTTTTGTGCTCAGGTGTATGTTCTGGTGTACAGATAGTTATAAATGGCACTCAAATCCAATTAATTATCAGTCTGGCAAACAAGAGACCTGAATTTATTAGAAAACAAAATGCAGGAGAGTTGAAAACACCAGATTTCTGTAACAATTTGTATTCTGTCTGCAGCAAATTACCTTTATCTAAACATAAGCTTCATCTGCACTTTATAATTTCTACCAGTTTTCTCCTGTAATTCCCAGCAGCACTAATGAGGCTTACATGCAAGCATCACATCTAGAATACAACACTAAGTTATATTAACGAACCATATTTAGAATATTCTGAAATTGTTTGTCAAAGCTGCTACTAAAAGATAAGAAACTGAAATCGCTGAATACAAATGATTCAATGTAGACTAATTCCAAAATATTATCATGATTTGCATCAATGCAGCCTTTACTCGGATAAGGTCAGATTCAATTTTTTTGAAGAGATAACATGAACCTTTCATAGGAATAAAAATAAAATATATTTAGAGGTGATTTTTAACTTAGTACATAAATTATTGGCCTGGAATCTTTATTGTGCATGTTTAACTTGTAGTCATTATGTAAATGCATTCATTATATAAATATTCATTATACAAATCCATTATGTAAATCCACAAAATCTACACATTCAGCGTAACACCATAAGGAACATGGGGCTGTACTTTGTAATCTGAATATCTCTTATTGTTGAAATGTCACCTGAATAAATTGCAGGTATTACTTATTTTGTTCTGACATTTAAGAGCAAAGTGCAGCATCAATAGTCTAAGAATGAAACCAGAATTTTAAAGAATTAAGGTCTGCCTGAAACATAACTCCAGCTTTTAACACTTGTATGTACAGTGTGTGTGTGTGTGTGTGTGTGTGTGTTACATTCCTGTTTTTGAAAAGCAAGCTCTGCCAGCATTGCCACGAGCAGTAACAAGAGCCATTCAGAAACCTTTTGATAAAATGTTACTGTTTTGCAAAATTCAGGTGCTGTATATCAAAACCCTTTTCTGCTTTGGTTTTGACAAGCTTTGCAAAGCAGAGTTTTCCCATCCGCAAAGGGACCAACGGCCCGGGATGTTCAGGTGGTGTCCAGCCAGACGGCCACGGTCAAACCACGGAGCCAAGCAGGGCCATTACCAGAAGCATGCATCACCTGAGCACTTTGATGCTTAGGACGGACTTGCTAGGAAAGCCTGAAATTTCCTGGGTTTATATAAATGCAAAATAGGTTAAATTCCATAGCTTCAAAAAGTCTTATGGAAAAAGCAAAACTTTTTCTACCTAACTCCCTTAAAACAAAATGACACATCCTGAAAATTCACACCACAATCTAATGGTCAGGGTATAGAGGTTTTTCATTTGTTTATATTTGAATTAAGCAAATGGAGAGAAGTGGGAT